CATGCACTAAAGCACTGGAAGTTGACTGTGGTAAACCCAGACATACCCTCAATCTCCTTGCCAATAACAAGTGAAGTCTTTCGGTGGAGGCTAGGAGTCCGTGCAGCAGAGGCAGTGAGTAAGTTACGATGGGGCGTATCCAGGCAACATGTAGGGCTAATAACGACTCTGTAGTACCACCCCATTTGGCCCCGCAGAGATGCCGGAGGATTCGAATGGCCTGATTCACTTTTGTTCCAGGGACTGTACATGAGGCGACCATGTTAGTCTCCGGTCTAAAATTACTCCCAAGAATTTATGAGTTTTAACCATTTGAATAGGCTGATTTTGCAGGATAATCTGGAAATTTCCAGGTCTTTTTAATGTAAACGGAAGTATGGCTGTTTTAGCCAGACTCAGTGTCATACCTCTTTTTTTAGAAAATGGTCTACATAATCCAATCCTTCTTGTAGAGTTTGTTGTACATCCAAAAACGGTGGACCAGACGTCCATATACTTATATTATCAGCATATACTGAACATCTGATGTTAGGTGGAAGATTATACGGGAGCTGCGCCATGACTGCATTAAAGAGAGTAGGGCTTAGCACGCTGCCCTGTGGCACTCCTTGGTTGACGACATGTTCTGACGTTGGGCCCTCCTGCGTAACTACAAAAATTTTCCGGTGCTTCAGGAAGTCAGCGATCCAACGCAGTATCTTGCCCTTGAATCCCTATAACGCCAGGCCTTCCAGAACGTGAACGTGACTCACTGTGTCGTATGCTCGGCGGACATCAAGGAATACAGCGACAGTGATGTTTCCTTGCGTTCGTTGGTTTTCCCACATCTGTGAACAAATCCAGAATGCAGTCCATTGTGCATCTACCTCTTCTAAAGCCGGCTATGCTTTCTGGTAGTAGATTTTTTATGTCTTGCCACCATAAAATTCGTTCATGGATCGTTTTTTCCATCACTTTTGAAAAACAACTTGTCAAACTAACCGGCCTAAAAGAGTCCAACTGCATAAGGCTCTTCCCTGGCTTCAGCAACGGTACTACTTTTGATATCTTGCAACTTTCCGGAACTTTTTCTTCTTGCCAACTTTTATTATAGATGTCCAGCAGGTGTAATTTTCCTTTTTTGCACAAATTAGCAAGAGCAGCGTATGTAACTCCATCTGTTCCTGGTGAACTTGTTCGTTTTACTGAAGACAGCACATATTGGAGCTCCTCTGGTGTGAAGCTGTCATCCAGATCTGATGAACTGATCGCAGAGAACTTTGTTACAACCGCCGAAGCAGATTCTGCTGAGGATTTATATTCGCTAGTTTGGGCGGTCTCTCCATTTCTCAGTATAAGATCGCAAAATTCTTCGGCAATCACACGTTCGCTAACTCATCGAGACAGCGCTAGAGCCTGTAGTGGTCTCGAGTGGACTACTGGCTGTCGGAGGGCGCGTACCATGTTCCACAGTTGAGGCGCCGAGATAAATGGAGAAAGTGAGGCACATAAATCTTCCCACCTTTTGGTTGAAAGCTTCTGCAGTTGGTTACGCATTGCAGAATGTACTTTATGTGCCACCTTGAAATCTTCTAAATTACCCGACCTGCGATATCTTCTTTCAGATCGGCGTCGTATTGCCCGAAGCCTCTCATACTCAGCGTCAACACCCGAATACCTATCTGGAACGGGTACTGCACGAGTTGCTTTTGTTAGAAAATGTTTCATCTTCGATGCATAGGTTTCTGCGTCAGAACAAGGTTCAAGATTTTGTCTCTGTAGTTTTCGAAAGATTGCCCAATTTGTAATTCCTGTTGTGCGGTTATTTTTTGTTTTCTTCAACTTTGGGTGATATATGAATACTGGCAAGTAGTCACTGCCTCTTGTGTCAGCGTCTGCAGTCCAGTCTGCTCCAGCCGATAATTCAGAGGAGCACACAGTAATGTCTAGTACGCTGCAGTAGTTATGCCCCCGTAGAAACGTCGGAGAACCATCATTTAGTATAGTGTAACCATCATCTTCGCATATTTTTACTATAGCAGATCCCCTTACTCTACAACGCTCACTACCCCACTACTCATCGTGTGCGTTAAAATCACCACATATAATTATGGGATCATGATCGGATCTACACACTGCAGCCAACTCTGCGTATGAAACGTTTGCTTGAGGGTGCACGTAAACACCAACTACAGTTACAGTATTTTTACCAAACTTCACCTTGCATCTAACGAATTCCGGCACATCTGTTTTTGATGTAGCTACAAGTGTCGACGGAATGTCGCGTCTCACACACATCACTCTGCTTTTTGTAGCAGGACGTTCTGCTTGGTACACCACATAATTGGACAAGCGAAAGTTAGTGGATACTCTCGTTTCGGAAATACACAAAATGAAAAACCCGTGCTGAGCAACGAATTTCCGAAAATCTCCACTCTTATTCTGCAAACCGTTGCAGTTCCACTGGAATATTTTTCTCTTGTACCAGTTAGATAGTCCGGTAGCCATGATTACGACAAGAGATGCTCAACATCTAGCAGCAATTTCACTTCTGGTAAAGAACCTGCTCGTGGCAGATCTCGTAGGATCGCCTTTAGAGCCGCAAAGATTATTGGCAAAATGACTTGCTCGTTTCCGGCTGTCTCCGCCGAGATCGCATTTCTTGAAGAATTTTTTCTCAGCAAGCTGCTGTGACCGTTCCCTTTGGTAGTTAGTGGCTCCTTGGCTGTGTCTGGCCCGGCAGGAAGTTCCACTTCAGCATGTTCCTGGGCCCGGGCTTCTTTGCCAACGCGATGTTTTGGTGCTGAGCGCTTTAATACTTCCGAGTAAGAGTCGTGGCACCACAGTTTTGCATTTCTTTGTGCCGCAGGAACATCTTCGATTATATCCGCATTAGGTGCTGGACCTCTTTGTATCTTATGGTACCTTTTTACAATTCTCTCTCTTTGTGCCGCTGATTCCAAATGGTTTCGAGAGAAGCCTGAGAACGACGCCGGATGTGGTCCAGCACAGTTGGCACACTTATGTTGATGCTTCGAGGTGCATTCTTTGTAATCATGTGCACCCGCACATACGTTGCATCTCTTGGTTCCCCTGCAAGTCTTAGCCTTATGCCCATATCTCTGGCAGTTGTAACACCTTACCGCCGGCTCAATGTATTCCTCGATAGTGTGAACCATAAAGCCGAGAGCAACTCTTTTTGGCAATGGCATGTCATGTCTAAACTGGAGTATTACATTACGTATGGGCTGCATTGTGGCACTTCTATCTTCATTTCTTACCCATCTATTTTGTCGTGCGACTGAGATTACTCCAGCATCTTTAAGATATTCCATTAGGTCATAATCACTGTATTCGAGTGGAACATCTCTTATCTTTGCTAGGGTCTTCATGTAAGACTGAGGTATCATCGCATGTACAGGCAATCTAGCCAGACTCTTGATCAGCAGCAACTTGTTTGCCGAGTACAAAGACCGTACTCCACACAAAAACTTCCGTCTCTGTTGATTCTTGATGATGTCACTTTCTCATTGATATCAGAGATTATCTCAGATGCTATGCGATTGGTATTCACCTTCCAGAAGGAGTCCTCGGCAGCGATTGGTCTGAACACCACCGGTATCCCCGTAGCTAGGTTCTTGTGATGGGTGACCACCGTATAAGCTCCCTCGTCTTCCTTGGGTGCTTCTGTATCCATCTGTGTCATTTTCAATCATCATTTTTCAATGTAGTTTGTGCAAAAACCGGAATACTATAGTGGAGACAACACACATGGCCCAGCCTCCTCACGAAAGAATTACGGAAACTAGCCGTTTCACGGTCGTTGGGCTTGATTACTGCGGGCCGCTGTACACGAAGTCAGCAAGCGGTCCAAGGACTTACATATTTTCGTTTTCGTGCGTCGTCACATGCGCAATTCACCTTGAGCAAATATGAGACATGACCACCGCCACAAATTTGCTCGCCCTTCGTCGTTTCGTCGCACACCATGGCGTACCCTCAATTGTGTACTCTGACAACGCCCACACGTTTCGGAGTTGTGCTAGATGGTTTGCATCTGCGCTAACTGCTCTTCGTGAGTACGCCGTGGAAATCGGAATACATTGGAATACAATGGAAGTTTATCGCAGAACGCGCTCCATGGTGGGGTGGATGGTGAAGGCGCCTCATTTGTACGACAAAAAACTGCGCTCAAGAAGTCACTCGGACGCAGTAGTCTTAACGTGGAAGGCCTCACAACGGTGCTGTGTGAGGTTGAAGCTGCGATCAGCAACAGACCCCTCACCTATCTTGGAAGTGAGCCTCACGAGCTACAGCCCTTAGCTCTATCGCATTTCTGGCTGTGTAAATGCAGCACATCAGTGCCCATCAGAGCCTGACGTATCCGTTGATCTGTAACAAAAGGCTCGCCATCGCCTGCGTCTAACTGTGAAACTTTGGAAGAGATGGAAACGAGCGTACCTGCTATTGCTGCGGTCGGCACTCAATTGCTCGACATGTCCAACAACAAAGCTTTGAGTTGGTGATGTCGTGCTCTTGCAAGAAGACACGGTACCAGCGACGTCATGAAAATAGGCAGAGTACTTGAGCTACTGCCAGGGAGAGATGACACTGTGCGCGCTTGCTCCATTCGTCTCGCCAACGGCTCTGTTGTGAATCGCCCTGTGCAAAAGATTTGCAAGCTCGAAGCCTCCGATTCACTTTGGCCCGCCCCGGATGATGTTGAAAAAATGAACCAGAATTGAGCAACTAGAACACGTGACACCGGCAGGGAAGAAGAGAAAGCAGAGGACACAGAGCTCGCGAGGGATGGAAGGACAGATAGTTTGCCATGAACGTAAAATAAAGTCGCGTTTTCTCTCACGGTTTGGGAGCCAGTCGTTCCTAATACATTTCACCGATTTTGTGACACTTTTCGTCATCTTTGCGTAGGCTTGACAGCTAGCGTCATGAAAATTTGGGCTAGCTGCACTCTGAGCTCCCCTTTCATTTGAATGATTCTACGAATTTTTACTATGCAGCCATGAAGTTGTGCCTCCGGCTAGCCACAATGCCCGCACTTCAAGCGCTAGGAGCACGTGTGTGGGAAAAGCCACTGCCTGGATGCGAGCTGTATCCGTTCCTAACAGATGAGTACCTGGCCTGTGTGGCTCGCTCGTACACCAGTACATTGTACCATCCAGTCGGTACCTGTCGCATGGGTGCTGTCAATGACTCACGCACTGTGGTGGACCCAAAGCTCAGGTGAGTCAGCTTTCGAGTAAACGTTTCGAAGCCCCTAGTTGTACACTTGTTCTTCCACGTGCTTAAAATCGAGCGCTCATTTTCAGTTGTCTGAATATACAAAGTCTGTAAATTCGCCCTATATCTTCATTTTGGACTGCAAATGTCATCGAAGGACGATAGTGTTCCGTCTAGAGAGAGTGAATAAAACATTTATTTGGTGCTCTGCGAGAGAACAGTGAATGAGATTCTTGAGACCATCTGTTAAAGTGCCTCGATGCGTGCAGCGAATAGGTGCCACCACCGTATAGTCTTAGCGAAGCGCAGGAACCACCCACCTTTTCGTCCTTTGCGTTGCATTGTCAGCTTAGCGTATTAAACCCTACGTTCCTTAGAATAGGTATGACATTTATGGTATGAAGAAACACGCCACCGTATATTTATGTGTTAATTTTCTGCCTCAGATATACGCAACATTCGATTTTTAGTGGACACTACGCGTAAGTATGACCATAAAAATGAGAGCAATATTGCTGGGCACTGCAGAAGTGATTGGATTTCGGAATTACAGGCGAACAGAATAAAATATCAAGGAACAAGCAGGTTCGTGCGGCAAACAGAGAAGTCATCAGACAAGTCATCAGACAAGTCAATAGACAAGTCAACAGACAGAGGCAGGCAGACCAAAATTTTCGCGTCGATGTATCCCGAAAAAGGCTACCGTCTCTAAATATTGAAATCTATCGCTCAAATTGAGTTACATCGTATGCATACATCGGAGCACACGTTTATTTCAAAAAAGGGCAATTATCTTGCGGAGCTACTAATAAAATGTGCGTGTTTTTGAAAACTTTGACAGACAATTTGTTAGAAGGTAGAGAGCTCAGCATGAGCTTGTTAGATCTAGCCTGCTGCTGTGGACAGGGGAGCAGAGACAGGGAAAAAAAGAAGTTATGAAGGGTGACGATAGGAACAGAAACAAGTTCTACGTATATACAATAACGGCGCTGAATTGTGGGTTTGCTAGGGTCTGTTTTCCAGCAGCCGGCTAGTTAGTCACTGGGTGTAACAGCAGCGTAAAATTTAAGATACACGGACACACAGACAGGACGTAGATGCGTAGCGTAGTGACAATTTTGTTTTCTGTGCGATATTTGCTTTAGCGTGATGCAGCTCATTGTTCAAAAATAAAAGTTGGCGCAGTTTGCATTGAGCTGCACAAAGCACGCCAGGGCTTCTTGGCGCTCAGCCGGTCCTGGCTTCATTAGGCAAACGTGCAATCACACGCCGATGTACGAAGCGCTCTCGGGATCACGTTGCACATCACGTGTACTGGCTAGGCGTCTATCAGGTTCAAATTGGAATATCCTGGAAACCGGAGCACCAATGCCTAATGACTTAATTACTTTCATTATTTTAATTACGTTATTAGCCAAATTTGCCAAGTTTACATATTTGACGCTTGACCTCAATTATTTTGCCTTGTTAAAGTAATCCTAATGAGCCCAATTCACAATTTAGAATCAGAGTTAACTATGTTGAGCCTAAAATATTTTCCGGAGATCGGCATGAATGGGCATGCTTGAATATACACTCCCATTGATTGGAGCTAATTAGGCTGACCTGATTAGCCTAAAAAGGAGGAATCTGCTAAATGTCATCATTTAATTAGGCTTGGCTATGATTTATTTTGGCTTTACCTAGACCCGCCTGGGCTTAACTAGGCCTGATATGGCCGAACCAACCTAAAGATATTTTGTCCACGTCGTGAGCCGAACAAACGGCAGGTATAGTAACTCTGCTGTTAGAATCCTTTTTGTGTGAGAATGCGCCACTTATAACGATCACTGTTATGTGACCTTGCGCATCAAAAAACCTCACATGAAATTTAATGCATGTGTTGTGCGTATCATCGCTGTTTTTTGTGCTTCTTTGATTTGGTGCTGTTGTTATCAAGCCTGCTGAAAGGTTGTGGGCAGATGTGATTGTTGCGGACCCTAGCGGGCCAGGTCAGAAGTGCGCGCTTCTTCCTACCTGAAAATTCACTTCCGCAGCACGTCAAATGCTAGTCAACCCAAAGAATACACCAAGGTACACGACGTGCGACTGTTGTTACACGACCTCTTTCCCAGAAGAAGCTGTAGGGTAGGGTGGGATAAAATTAGACAGGGGGCAAAGCGCGACATTTTGGCTTGGCCGGCCTCTGTAGCTGATACTAAAGGTACTTTTTTGTTTCTCTTTTTCAGCAAGAAGTGCTTGTCGTTACCGACCTTTTCATGCGTTAAAGTTGATTGCTCAGAGTGTTCTCGCGGGAAAAATTACGCGGCTGCTGTCAGTGTATTTTTGACCTGTCAAAAAGGGGTGAAATTCTGCTCGGCCAAATTTTTCAATTCCTGCTTGAAACTATTCCTGCGTCAGTACAAAAGCTTACAATACAAAAACAGTGCATAAATATTTTTGTTACTTTTAACTACGACCTAGATAACACCAAAAGTTTAGGTCATTTGGGGCCTGGTGACAACGCGGAAATGATCTTGAATTCTGGCATGTGAGAGGTACAAAACGTGATAAAAGAAATTACGACTGCTATAGAGACTCTTAATAACTGAACCATTACCTTACACTCGCTCTGTATTATATTTCTTTGTTTAGGAGGATTTGTACACACGAGCATATTATATAGAGCTTTCTGGGAGATAAATGACACCAAAAAGAACCGATTACTGTTCACGATATGACTACCTCCATTTGCGCTCCATGAGCATTTTTCCGTGTTCCCAAATAGCTTAAAAAAATGGCAAGATCTCCCAGACAAGTCATCACAAGCACATATTGGAAATGATTTTTAACGACGTTTTTCTATTATTCAAATTGAAAAAAAAGAACAAGCGCTAGAAAATCTGAATCTAGAATGTTTTCAATTCATTGCCTTACCAAGCCAGGAGGACGAAGGTAAAAGACATGAAATGCCTGAGCAGGTCCGCATCGAAACGGCAAAAATAGATGAAAAAATACGTGAAAAGTTACCTTGCCTCAAATCGTTGAATTATCAATGAGGTGCAAACGTTCAAAAAAAAAAAGACAACCTTGTCATAAAGAAAGACAGATGGCATTTGATCTGCAAGGAGGTTTGTAGCCACACAACACCGCGTTCTATCTATACTCTGTTTCAGAAGCTTCCTACAGCACCACGGATGGTACAGGGATTCTCAGCCAATAGGAAGGGTGCTTAGTCCTTGCACATTTATTAATCCGGGTCATGTCGTGCGCTCACCGCGTCTTCACGGTTTTGCACATCGAATTTTCTATACACGCCTTTTGTAGATAATATGGCTGGTTCAATAGCCTAAAAATATAGTAAAACTCTCAAATAAAAACTTCAAACCTGTACTTGTCGCTCTGCTGAAGATCGATAAACTGTCAAACCGGCGGATAACTTTACTTTCTGGCTCTTTCTTCTTGACGCTGTTCGTAGCTCTCGTATGACTCCTTCTCCGTGGACGCGTTTCTTGTCTCCCGCTGCAACACCTTTATTGATCTTTTTTTAGGATCGAAGCTCCTCTTTGTCTAACCTTGTCCTGTGTCAGGCGTAACCTAAAGAGACAAAAAAAGTGGCTGATCTCACGTGCTGTGGGAATCGACGATATAAAAAGCAGGAATCGGGAAGGTTGATATGTCACTTTAAAATCAGCACAACAATACAAGGCGCATGTAAATTAAGCCATACATGACTTCCATGCCATGTTTATCATGTTTGAATGTGTCATTTATCTTCGTCGTCAATTCAAGTTACGTAATACCAAATTTGGTATCACGTGACGTGATTGTGGAGCTAGTGAAACGGCCAAGACGCCACTATGAGCACATGTACATATGTTTTACATGACTCGTATATCAGGATTATCCTGTTTACAAGTGTAGATTACATTTTTCGTCCGCTGACGGCACGTAATACCAGATTTCGTATAAGTTGAGCTAGCGAAACGGCCACGAATGCGCTATGACCGTAGCATATGTCATGCTTTACATGACACGCATATCCTGATTATCAAGTTTGTATGAGTCAGTCACCTTCGTCTATCATTTACGTCACCTGATACCAAATTTGGTATATGTTTAGCAAGCGAAATGGCCTCGAGCACGCTATGAGTGCAGCATGTAAACATGTTTAACATGAGACGCACATCATGATTTTTATGTTTAGACGTGTCATTTACCGTCGTCGTCTATTCACATAATGTCATACTAAATATGGAATATGTGGAGCAGGCAAAACGGCTACGAATGCGCTATGAGCGTAGCATGTAGTCATGTTTTGCATGACACGGATGTCATGATTATCATGTTTGGACGTGTCCTTTACCTTCGCCGTCCATTCACTTCACGTAATACCGAATTTGGCGAAGCTAGCGAAAGGGGTGCGAGCGCACCATGAGTGTGGTTTGTGGTCATGTTCTTACATGACACGCATCTCATAATTATCATGTTTGCACCAGTCGTATACCTTCGTCATTCATTGACGTCACGTTACACCAAATTTTGTGTATATGAAGCTAGCGAAACAAACCCAAGCGCACTATGAGCGTGGCGTGTAGTGATGACTAGACATAACATGAAAATTGACATGCATGTCATGATTTCAACGTTATGGTCTTTCACCTATGTTCGCCATGCAGTCATGTCATACCATACAAGGTTTGCCAAATATCATGTGAACGAAACCACCGCAAGAGCAGCGAGACCATGAAAGGTAAATCATGACATTCATTGCATACATGCTATGGTTTTCATGTTATGACTAGTCAATTATCCTTGTCACGGAATCATGTTATGTCATACAAAGTTTGGTATTCATACCGCTATCGAGGCGACCAGGAGAGCTAAAAGTCGTAGGCGGGTGGATGGAGTGATGAATGGATGGATGAATGGACTGACGGATAGACGGACAGATGTGTGGATGAACGAATGAACGGACGGATGGGCGTATGGATGGGCGGACAGATGGACGTTCGGATGGATGG